ATCTATATTCTTCCACCACTACCCCATCTTGGTAGTTTTTCCACTGTATTTTAACTATTTACTTGTCTATCTCTACCACTGTACTCCCTGAGGGCCAAAACTGTCTCTTATTCACCCTAATGAGCCTAATTCCTAGATAGAATTATTACCAAGAATGTATGAGTTCTCAGTAAACATTGCTTTCTTTATTAATTTTCCTGCCCTAATGCTGTTTTTACCATGTTATTCTATTTCTCAGAAACATACAATGGCTTTCTATTTCCTGCCTTATCAAGTTTAAATTCCTCTGCTTAGCTTTTTTAGCCCCTTACACTAAATTTTCCACCTTATTTCCCAATATCCCCCCATATGTACCCTTTTTTTATGGTCTTACAAATTATGACATGTCTGTGATTTAGTTGATGCTGTTTCTCTCTTGGAATAGATTCCTTCTTAAAAAAAAAATCCTATCCAGACTTATCCTCTCCTTATGAAGCCATCTTTGACTATCTTTATATGTCAGCACTCCCAGACTTCTCCTAAGTCTAATAGGAAAAGACTTTAAAAATAGACTGGCCCTACTCTTGTTTTGCATGACAGCAGAGTCATCTAGCATCTAGCAGAGTGTTGAGCTCAGAAGACATGCTCAATAACTACTCAACTGATTTTGAAGTGCTTTGTCCTATCTCAAAAATGTATACAATCCAAGCCTGTAGCTGTTTGCAATATGTAGACATTAGTTGATTTGAAGAGACAGACTATGAAAAATGAAAATTTAGACTTTATAAAATTTAGAAAGTGGTTAATATACTAAATGAGATGTTGAGGGAATAGGGTTACAGTGAACTAGGGATTAAGACGTTTCAGTTGTTCAACCTGGACCAGCCTAACCTCACTGAGGCCTTTTAAAAATAGTTTAATCAGAAGACTGTTTACTGCCAAATCACTTTTTATCACTGGAAGGTTTACTTAACTACTCCAGTGAGATTCCCTTAAATGATATTCAGAACATCATGGTGAAGAAGAGGCAGTCAGTTCCCTATTATTCTTTTAAAGAACATTCTTCTCATTCTATTCCTCTTGCTCTGCCCCTCCCAGTATATTTCCTTTAAAGAATTTAAATCACCTTATAACATCTTTAAAGTTACATACATTAATGAGATAAGTTATGTTATAAACTTTGCTAAAATGTAGTGTTTCTGATCCTTTCCAGTAAGTATTTTCCTTAATACTCTCCTCACCCTCCTGCCCCATAACAACCCTCTGGCTAATCATAAACCAATTTTCAAAAATAACTTGTTATACAAATAAATCTGTGATACCCAATGAATATATTTCCTAGATAGGATTTGAAAACCTCTGCATTATGCCAGAATTTCCTCCTTTATTTTGTAGCAGGCCTAATCAAGTTCTGATCATTGCTTAACCTGATGCATGGGCACTAGTAGATTTACTTCTGGAAAACTTTTTTGACATCAGGAGAATATTTTCTAGCAATTTACATGATCAATATGACATGTCTATGACATGTGATCAATATGACATGACTAGAATTATCAACAAAGCAATTTTTCTAATATACAAACTTTTTGAGGTGAGAGGCCATAGTTTATTTTCATCCCTAGTGCTTATTGTAGTGCCTGATTCAAACTAAGCACTCAATAAATCCCTATTGACTAAATAAGTGAATAAATTAGTACAAAGACTAGTCTCCACTCAATAGAAGACTCATAGTTTAAGATAGAAATGACACAGAGAGCGCCTGTCATCATCACCATCATTAAAAAGTTAATGAGTAACTGATTTTACTTGGAGAGGTGCTAGAGTTTATGAAAGGCATATTATTAACATCATTCTAGCATAAAAACTCTGAAAGAAAGAAGAGACTTTCATTCACACAAGAAACTTTTATTGATTACTTGCTATATGCTAGCATTATTCTGGCACTGGGGATATAATGGTAAACAAAGCAGACAAAAATTTCTGGCCTTGGGAAGCTTAAATGTAAACGCAGGTGGAAGCCTGTCTTGCCAATGGATTTCAGCCCTGGGCAAGTTCACTATGGATTCAATGTGACCAAAGAAATAAACGTTCTTTGGGGTGAAAGGGTTTATTACCCGGCTTGTTCTCCCAGCTAGGTCGAGCACTAGCGTTTCTGCCTGCGCCCAGAACACTGGGCCGAGCGCTCTATATAGTGCAATAATAGTTATGGTCTAAAGGTGTGGAAATGCTAGTCTAGCAACAGGCCAGTTACATCATCAGGTGATTTAAGTTCAGAGAGGATACTGGCCATAGGAACCCCAACTTCCCCACAAAGCCAGTAAGTAAAGTATATATTATCTTTTTGATAAGTACCAAGGGAAAAATAAATTATGGAAGTGGGGATAAGAGGTGGGAAAGAGTTGAAATTTAAGATAAAAATGAGTAGGGAAGGCCCCATTCAGGTAACTTTTGAATAAAAAAAGAAGGAAGAAAGTAAAGATAGGAGAGAAGTGTTGTATTCCTGTAACTGGAGAACAAAATGAAAGGAGGGTAATTAGTGTTGTTTGTGAAAGGGGTTGGCATTACATCAGTCTACTTATGCATGTAGCATTCAGAATTGAGTCTTAAAATCATTACACACAGTGCAGTGGGACTCACTGTATGCAGTGTGCCTGAACAGCCCTGTGCTTTTAACTGGTGGAAAGGCTAAGGGATGGCTTATGGATTCAAGCAGAGCAAAAAAGGCGCTTAAACTAAACTAGTGTCAGGTGGGAGGTCACAAAGCCACTTCAGCTGCTTTTGATAGTTTCAATTCATACAGCCAAATGAAAGGTAGAAGATGCTCTTAAGAAATTATTGTAAAATATAATAAAAAAAGGAGATAGCAGGAAAGGTGAGGCAAATGAATTTGAGAATTTGGAAAGTTAAGAAATAATGAGAATAATGAAGGTTAAGGAAAGAGAAAGAGGGATGAAAAATGAGCGGCAACACAAAAGGCCCCTCTGTAGAGGTTCAAAATGAATGTGGAACGTGGTAGGGATCTGTGTTATGAAGAGTCACATCTGCTTCAGATTCACAGCTGAAGACTTAATCCGCAGTATTTCAGAATGTGGCCTTATTTGGAAATAGGGTCATTGCAGATATAATTAAAGATGAGTTCATAGTATAGTAGTTGGGCCCCTAATCTACTATGACTGATCTCCCTATAAAAAAGGAAAACTTGAACAGACATGCCGAGTGGAGATTGGAGTTATGCCACCATAAACCAAGGACCTACCAGAAGCTAGGAGAAGCCTGGAGGAGATTCTTCCTTATTACTTTCAGAGGGAGCAAGGCCCTGCCAACACTTTGATTTCAGCCATCTGGCCTCTCTCTAGAACTGTGAAGCAATCAATTTCTGTTGTTCTTAAGTCACAGAACTTAGTTTGTGGTAGTTACAAAGCCCTAGGAAACTAATTCAGCATGTAGGATTCATTTGAGGCAAACAGCAAGAGCACCTGTATATTACAGAAAGAGAAGGAATGTGGTAGGAGAGTGAAGTGCCTGGTTGGCTCATGCTTCAGAAACGTCTAATAGCTTTCACTTCTGTAAATTGTATTTTGTTTTACCAAATCTTTTAAATTATGTTTCATTTGTTTTAGTAAAGTCACATAATATCTCCATGCATGACAAATTACAAGGCCCATTCTGATTTCTGTACTTGTAATTTCAGTCATACGAACAGAAACTGTTAACTATAAGAGGGGGATACAGATGAAGGGGGTTAAAAAAGCACCTTTTCTCAACATTGGACTGATAGAGTAAAAGTTGAAAGAAACCTCGATTCAGTTCTTCAGTATCTCCGTCCCACAGGTTGTGCCGCTAACTGCACCTCTCTCGCCTGCAGGACCGCGGTTGCTGCTGACTGGGGAGAGGGACCTGTCTCCTAACCCCACCAGCGAGGAGCTAGGGCTACAGCAGGGTGCAGGGCAATGTAAGGTTTCCTCCAACCTCCTCACGACAACCAGCCCCCGCTTCCCGCGCATGCCCAGTCTGGAGGGCGCCCTGCGGAAAGGAGCGCCGAGCCTCAGGTTTCCCCACAGCTGGGGAGGTGCCCGGAGATGGCGGCGGCCCCGGGGACCGAGGATACTCCGGCCGGTCCACCCTGCGGGGCCGCAGCCAACCCCGCTGGACTTTTGTTTTCCTGCATTGGTAACCTTGTTCCTGCCGTGTTCAAAGGGAGCGGGGCGGAGCTGGGCACATCCCGGTAGGATGGAGCCCGACGGTCCAGGGCACCCTGGTTAGATGGCTTTTCAGGCGTCCCCCAGGGAATGGAAGGCCTCGCTCCTCTGGGAACGAGAACGACCCAGGCCCGGAGGGAACCCTGGGGCGGTCAGTCGGCTTGGCTGCCCAGACCTGTTTTGAAACTAGCGACAGCCAGGACAGCCGTAACTGATCCCCTGATTTGCGTGCTAATACTAAGCGCCTTCCTAGCAGCCACCTCCCTCCTGTGTGCCTTGCGGGCCCAGAGGCCGCTCCGAAAACAGCCTTCCTCAGGTATCTTCAAGAAGCACTGGTCTCGTCGTCTGTTCGTCCATTACAGCTTCGTTCCAGAACGTCCGCTTTGCTTCCCCACCACGTTCCCCCGTCTGAGGCTGCCCAGAATCTCCTTCTTCGGGAAATTCCCACTTGAGCAGCCGGGGTGTATAATGAACACAGGCCCGCTTTCCCGGGTGGGTTGGCGGGGTCGGGGAAGCAAGCCTGCCGTGAGCCAGAAGGTGGCGGTTCGGGCGCAGCCTCCCCGTGCCCTGCCTCCTGCGAGTCCACTTCCAGCCCCCCGGCGGCAGCCATGCAGCTCCCCAGCCGGCCCGCAAACACTGGTCCACCGCACGCTCAGCCCTGCCTCCCCGGAAAGGGGCGGCGGAGGGAGCACTGAGCATGCTCGGCGGGGAGGGCGGGTGCTGCCCGGCTGCGAGTCGGGGCGGGCGCTTCCAAAGCGGACTCGGCGTCTCGGTCCGCCCGCTCGGAGCCGCGCCCGCCGGCCCCGCCCCACCCCGCCCCCCGCCACTCGTCCCCGCCGCGGCCGCGCCGCCTGCAGCAGCCGCCGCTCCTCCCTGGCGGCCGCCCCCCGCGGGTCCCTCCCTGGCTGCGGTAGAGACGGAGGTGGAGGGAGGACACAGAGCCGCGCCGCCCGCACCGGAGACCTTCGCCTCGCCCTGCCTGCTCCTCGCCCTCTGGGAGGAACATGGGTAAGTCATCCTATCTCCCCCGTCATCGCCTGACATTTTTTTCTTTCTCGGCGTGTTGCAGGGTGGGAAGCCTTTCTCGCGCAAAGTTGCCGGATTTCTCAGACTCGGGTGTGAGACGGTGGCTCTTCCTCCGGGGAGAGCCGGCGCACACGGAGCGCACGGCGGCGCGGCGGGCTGGGAGGGTCCCGGGAGCGGGTGGGGGCGGCCCCGGGGCCGGACCGCCGCCCGTCTCTGGGGCACCTCGCCGCCTCGCCTCCCCTCCTCCATTCTTCCTGCCCGAGGAAGAGCTGCCCGGTGCCCGGGCACCACGTAGCCTGCCTCGCGGGCTCGCATCCTCTGCCCCCTTCCCGTTTCTTCGGAGGCCGCCCGCTCCCTGTGCCCCGCGTCTGCTGTGCTGGAGGCTCGGGTCCGACCGCGGGAAAGACCACTTCACGCAACTTGCCTGTCAGGGCGACCTTTCCCCGTCTTGGGGACCGCTCATTCTGAGGCGGGGAAGTGTGTGCAAATAGTTTGTGGGCTTAATTTTACAACCTGCACGGAAATCATTTCGATGGGGGAACAGTGGACAGCCTCATAGGTTGGAAGGATGACTTGTCAGAGGCCACGAGGACCGTGAGGAAGGATGGATAGAGCCGCTAGCTGTTGAATTAGTGTTGAGTGGCTACAATGGGTAGTGTTGCTGTGCTCAACCCATTATTTTGGTGCCTTCGCCTGTCTGCTGTACCAGCAAACTGCACCTTTGCATGTTACCGAACTTAGATGTTAGTTATTCTTTCCCAGCTTCCCCTGACTGAATCTACATAACCTGATTTTAGTTCCTTTGTATTTAGTTAATCTCAAGACATTGTTTTGGGTGGGATATTTAAAAGGAAATATGTTTTATAATTCTACATATAATTTATCCTAAATGTTTTTCATAACATATTGCTTAGCTGTTCAGTAATTACAAAAACCTCTGATGAATAAATTATGTAATATAATTAAAAGACGAAAGTTATTTTTTAATAGTAGCAATTTGAAATGCCACACTTCTACATATTCCCTAGTTTGCTTCCACTCCTGTCATAATTTTCTCTTTTTAAAATTTGCTACACTGTCATCTGTCAACTTGGACTTTTCCCACCCCTATCAGGGCAAGTTACTTTAAGCTTAAGGTGAGTGTGGTCCTTCCATCTGTCAATACAGTGCTCAGCACGTCCAGAGTTAGGTCTTGGCAACTTAATCTTCAAGGAAGTATCTAAATCTAGAAATGGTTTTGATGGAGCTTACTCAAAAAGTAAATGCTCCAAGCTCTGATTCAGACCTTTGGCCATGTATTGGGAAGAGGCCAGTGTTGCAGGAGGAGGTGGTATGAATGAGAAATGAATGTAGAACTCTGAATTTTATTTTCAGTAGTTTAGTTTTTTCCCTTTAATGTGCTATTCACGTGCTATTCACGTGCTGAGCAAATTTCTGTAAAAATGTGCCTACCTTTTGTCCAGGAATAGAATTTTAAGTAAATATTAATTCAGATTATTAGACACATTGTGTCTTTTCCTTGAACATATAAAAATTTTCTCCTTAATGGCCACAAGTTTGGCCTATAAAATACATTTCCCCATGTTTCAAGGTGCGCAAAAAAAAATATCCATTTAACTAAAATTTTAACTTACATGTTGAGTCAGTACCTGTCCAGTAGAAAAATAACATTCTCTTGCAATACTAGTGAATAAAAATGCTTGAAACAAATATAATTTTTTACTTAAAAATAATCTTGAATATCTTGAATGTTACTCTTTGATTTCAAAGGAAGGCTAAACAGAGACCTATCTCTTATTTGAAGCTTAGATTACTCTTTGATTAAATCAACCTCTTTCCTATTGCTGTTTGTACCTTGTTGGAAGCTTTTTAGCCCTTATATAATCTGCCTTATAATGGAGTTGTTTATGTGTGTGTTGTGCATTTAACATGAGTGCCAAAAGATGAAAGTCATGTCTTACTGATTTTTGTGTACCACACAGTGCTTTCCACATGATAGATGCTCAGTAAATCTTGGGTGAATTAATTGTTGTACTTAAAACCGATTTTCAGCTTGTGAACCTGAAAGTATGAGCTCTGAACAAACATCTGGGTTAGTAGATATGGAACTGTGGAAGAAGTGGGAACAGAGAAGTATAATTATGTTATGACTGCTCTTCTCTCTAAAAAAAGGAGTTGGATTTTCGCAGAGGTTTGGATTGTGGGGCTGCCTCCAGGCAAGCCATTTCCTTCTGCACTGCTGTTTTCAGTGGTAAGGTGGTTCAGTGTAAGATCACAGGTACATAAAATAATGGAAAATTGAAACCTTGAAAGCAGTTTTGTATTCTGAGCCAAGGAAGTTATTATAACAATTCATATATACATCAGGGGTATACTGATTAATGGTAGGGGGAAAAATCACTTTTTAATGTCCTTTTAAGAAATAAGGTGATTTTAAAAAAACCCTCACAGAAGGGATTTTTCTTCATAAATATCTAAAAGAAACTTCCTATATAATCTTAGGGACATGCCCATTAATTTACATATTTTTTACTATAAATTTAATGAATACTTAATGCTTATTGAATATCAACCATGTGCAAGGTTCTGTGGGAGGGAAAGATGAATAAGACATTCATGTTTCAAGTTGCTTATGATCTTAACAGGAATAATTTGTTACACAGATAAATATAATAGAAATAAGGTATAAAAGACATTTACATATCTTATAGATTTGGAGAATGGAGAGAAGGTTTTTATAAAAATGCTGTTATTTGAACCAAAGGTTGGTTGAGCTTCTGAAAGATAGAAATGAATGGAGACTGTTAATCTGCATGAGAGTTGGGGGAGAGAAATGACAGAAATGAATAGATAGGGAACATTCAAGGAGTTTCAGGATATGATTGAACAGCCATGTTTGGCTGGAACAAAAGATAAGGTAATAGTGGTTGACAGAGATGAAAAAGTGTTGGATAAAGACTAGATAATGAAGAACCTTAAATGCCAAGCTAGAGAAGGTTTTGGGCCTGTCTCTTGAGAGACTATTAAACATTTTTATGTAGTTAAGTGATGGGTCACAGCTGTGGTTTAGGAAAATTAATCTTTCAGTTGAGAGCAGGATGCATTAGTTGAGAAACTAGAGAACACTTCAGAAGATGGTTGTTGAGTTTGGGTGAAAATATTTACTGACCTGAACCAGGCTGTGGTAAAGAAAAAGAATATTGCAAATAAAGAATAGGATTTACTTGCCAACTGATGGAATATGAAATTTAAAAAGGAGTCATACATATCACCTGGGCAATAATGGGAATGCCGGATCTAATAATATACTTTTAATCCATTGGAAGAGGAAACATAAATGGTCAATTTGGGACCCAATGGGTTGGACATTTAGATTCTCTGCTCTTTCGTGAAAAGGACTCTCACATTAGGTTTTGAGTACATTAACACTAGTGTCTGGCACATAGTAGCAATACAGTAAAAATTTGTTGACTGACTGAAAATAGGTAAACAATTTTTAGCAGTTATTTTAACTCAAGAGATGATTTGAACTAGTGATCAGATGGAAGTTCCCTGTAAATTTCCTGAGATGATATTTGAACTTAGGTGGAAGTGATAAATGTAAAAAAGAAAGAAAAAAAGAAGAAAATTTGTCCAAGATAAGAATCTTGAGGAATTCCCCACTGAAAAGTAAAAGGAATGGAACGATTTGACACTGAAAAAGACAGAAGTAGATAGGAGTGAAAGACCAGAATCGGCATATGGTTGGTTTCAAGAAAGAGTGAACAGTCTGTAATATCTGTTGCTTCAGAACAGAGTGATAAGGACTAAGAAAAGACTCTGATTTTATGTGGTTTGGTCAGGATACTGCCTAGTGTATTTTCTAAAAAGTAGCTTTAAGAGGTACGATAGATACGGAGATCAGTTTTAAAGGCCAAGCAGATACTAAGTACATGGAAACTGAATTCACTATGTATAGTCATGCTCTATTCCTTGCCCTATTTAAAAATCTATCAGCATAGGTTTCTTTAAATGTTTTTAAAATGTTGAACTTTACATGGAACAACATGTGATTTTTTTTGCCTGAGAATAATTTGTAATTACTCACCATAGTGAATATTTCTTTCGCATTCCGTTTTATGTCTTTGTGACTTGCATAGTACACTTTTTGTTTTTGCAATGTTCGTTATGCAGAGTGAGTTTAGAAATGGTTATAATTTTACATGGCATTTTACATAAAGGATACTCTTTACTGATGAATGGTTTTATCAGTTTTTATTTACTACTAGTCTTTGTAAATGTGGGATTTCTCTAGTTATGTGTATGCCTCTAATTATACTCTTAATTCCTGGAGTTTTATTTTTCTCTGTAAATAAGTATTAGCCTTATAAATGTCTCTTTTTTTTGGCTTGCATTTCTAAGTCCAGGAATGATTTCAGAGCTAAATAGTTCTTTTACTTGTTCTCTGCAAGACAAGTTAGAGCAATAAACTATTTCTGTAAGCTGGCTGTCACTAAAATTATTATTTTAAAAGACCATACATGATAGATTGACTAATTCAATACTTTTTCTTTATGTTGGCATTAAGTCTGTTTTGTATATGCCCATTTTGTTTTTCATATGGAAGAAAGGCTAGATTCACTATCCTTGGTAAAGTCATATTCTGAAGTCTCCAGTAATAGGAAAGCTGTAATAGCCTTAATTCATTTTGAGAATCAGAGTTTTAACTTTTCCAGTGTAATGTTGGGGCTTCAGGTGCCTTTGGGGAAATAGTGTGGTTTCTCTCTGCAGAGATTCCAGGTCACCTGATTTTGAATTTGATAATTCTGGAGTTACCGGTGTCACCAGCAACCACCATAAAATTACCTCAATCTTTAATATCTATTCATGAACATCAGGAGAAATAGTGAAGGGAGATCCATTCTTTTGGAAACTTCATGTTAATTTTAGGTAATGTTTGGATAACTGATAAGTGAAAATTTAAAATATGTGCCTAGGCATTT